CAGAAGGTGCAAGACGCCGTCAGCCGTCCCCGGACTGGCATGCGCCACGGGATCAACCACCGCGGACATGACAGGTGAGGAAGCGGAGGGACCAGTGTGCATCGATTGGTGCCCAACGAACATGAGCAAGGGGACCTGTGTGACAATCTGGAGAATGCGTCTGCATTACTGTGCATTACTGTGCCGAGAGCCCTTATGGTAAAAGACGTCAAAGGAGTACTCCTGTAAGGTCTCAAGCCAGCGAGACAGCTGGCCAGATGGTTGCTCAGGGTCCACGGAACCCGGAGTCGGCAGGTCCTGGGCAACTGAGTCGTTGTCGTCAGAAGACGCCACAGGTGAGTTCTTCTTCTTGAGATGTTTGGACATCTTCGCACTCTGTAGTGTTGTCTTGTCTCAAAAAGAACATCTTCTGACTCCAGTTGTAATAAACAACTTCCACGACAGATTGAGACTGCGTCTTTTCTTTATTTAATGATGACTGCTCGGCTCCGCACACCCTTCGGTATGGTCACCCTCTCTCTCTCGTCGCATGCACGCGCTCACTGCTCCTCCGTTCCTGCGCGGCTTCCCTCGCTCTCGCTTTCCTGCGCACCGCTGGTTGACAGCGCGCCGGGAGTCGAAAAAGCTTTGGCCCTCGAGGCTGCCACGTGACTGGTGGCGTGATGAGATGGTGGAGTCCGGATCCAGGCTCCCACACCGACCCCGAGACCTCCCCTTGCCTCTCCTTATATCCCCCTCGGCGGAGCAAAGCCCCGCCTCTAACCACGCCCCCCTCAGAACCTTCCCGATGGTTCCCGCATGTACGCATGAGCTCCGCCCATGAACTTTGGCCCAGATGGAACCCGTAGCCTTGATTGGCTATGACCGATGCGGCAGTGCCTATGCAGCCCTCCGTCGCCCGTCGGTGTGCTCTCTCATTACACATCTATATTGCTGTGCACTGCACTCTGAACCTGGCGACCTGAATTTGATTCCCAGTCACGGCTAATAGCAGTGGAGAGTGATTTCTGAACCGGTCCTTTGCATTCCCGCTTGACCAACCCATACCAGCCAGGGTGGTGAAGTATGGTAAAACATTCATGAGTGACTTAGCAAGGGGAAGGGCTTCATCAAGCGGGGGATTCACAATGGGACGTAAATATATTTTTTAAAATGTGGCATCTTTTTTTTTATAATCCGCAGTATTATTGCTTATACCGCCAACAGTTAATTCTGCTATAAACTGCACTTGACAGTGGCAGTTGAAACGGCTACGTTATTTAAACTTCCGCCACCACCTGTGACATTTTGCAATAACAATGAGTGAGCTCCCCCAAAAGCCGTTAGCAGTGTCTTGTGATTGTTCGGAGGACTTGGTTTCTCAAAGTAAAATTTTGTCCACTCAGCCCAATCCCGATTTTGTGCCGTCTTCATCCCAGTCTCCAGCGCTTCGGCATCCCTAAGTCTCCTTCCCACCCCGTGCTCCAGAACTTTTCAAGCAGCACTCTTCTCGAGACCTCTTATATTTGTTTTGGCACAAACCGAGCACATCTGCAGAACTCGTGCCAAGTCAAACGCTGCGAGGAAATACGACATTCACACGCATGCACGGTGCACACATGTGCACGAGTGATTGCATGTTGGCACATATGCCAACATCGCTGGCACACATGTCCCATTATCACTGGCTATGATGCTTGGCCACAGAGCTTGCACAAGTGTGCCCACATCCCTGGCACACGCGTTACACTATTGCCATGCATGTGCCAACAGCACTCGTACAGGTGTGCCAAGATTGCTGGCAAACGTGTGCCCACATAGCTGGCACGTTCCTGGAACAAGTGTGGCCACAGCGCTGGCACACAAAATACATGCTCAGCCACATATTTTGTGCCAGTTATGAGCACACTTGCTGGCACGTGTGATGCACGCTTTGAGGTGAGGGTTGGTGGATCACATGGTTCACAGCCCTGTGAAACTCCCCAACCCGATGCGTTGCAAAGTGGCCGAATATGGCGGAACAGCAAGTGGATTAAATCAATGTGTGGAGTTTTGTTTTTCCCCTACTATGCATGATAGATTCTATCCTCCCACGATAAGCCACTTATTAATGCACAAAACTCTGCAAATATGGACTCAATATACCTGCTGTACTAAAACCTCGGACCCCAGGTTTCGGAATTTAATGGATCTATGTAATCCACCAGCTTCCACACGCCTGAATCCTTCAATTCTCAAATCTTCATTGCTTATGTTGTCTATCCTAATTATGTACAACATCCCGTACCAGTATTGTCTTTGTTAGCCCCCATTGTCATTTATATTGCCCATCTCTCATTCGACGCCCTATGCCTAGCTTGATGACCTGCCCAAGTCTATTTCAGTTTCTTTCCCATTGTAAATGGCACGTGTTATCTCCGTTTTAACTCTCCAATCTTCATTTCTAATTAAAAATTCCGCTGGAGCCCATGTGGAGAAAACGCAGTGGACACAAGCACATGCCAGAGTTGCTCATCGCACCGTTATGAACGAATCAAAATCTGCTGACGGGGGAATCGGATAATTTGCGTGTTCCGAGCCATTCATTCACCAGGGAATTTACTACACCCAGAAAAAACATCACAGCACAGATTGTTTTTGCAGCCCTTTGTCAATACCACCGCTGAAGGACTCCGCACGCCATCGCACTCGAGAGTTGTTTGACTAGTGTGGGTTGGTGAAATTGGGGGTGCTCAAGAGCAGTTCACAAGTTACTCGCCACCGACGTCAGTTGTGAATGGGAATCGGATTCAGGACGTCAGATTAATATCTCAGTGTGTGAACCACCGCTGACGCACCCACCCAAGCCTTGAGAGTATAATTGATGATATACAGGCTGTTCAAATCTCTCTTACTCAAGGTCGTTAGTGCGAGAAGTTGTAGAGATGTTTGACAGTGTTATTGCACTTCGACGTGTGTCAGTGTTTTGTGGGGGGTGGTTGGGTGTGTGCAACAATTTAAAAACAAAATGCATTAATTTCACACCTCAAGAGAGACTTGGTGCATTCATCGTGGGCTAGAAGAATCGCTATTAATCAACAAAACTCATGCATCGGCAACACGATAACAACTATGCCCACATCAAGAGCGAGTCGTGCATTTTAAGTGACCGGACGTGACCACAACTTGATACATGTCAGGTCACCTTTACCATGCAAACCGTTCGTAAAAGTATCATTAAAGGAGACGTGTTTTAAAAATCTTTTTTACAGAGCACGTTGTTGATGTCTGCGGAGCATCTGGGTGGTCTCAGATCCTCCTGGGGTCCTGCAGGCAACGCAAACGTGGGGCTTTTTTCTCCCTTCTCCAATATTCGCACAGAGCCATTCGGTGCGAAGAGAAGTCCTTAGACATTCATTGGCTTTGGCAAAGAAAAACAATTGGCGGACGATACCAGACAGTTCACATACCAGGATTCGGAGAAAACAAATGTATGAAGAGATTCTGTAAAAATGGTATCTAGACTCTGTGGCAGACTTCAATCTTGGAAGTAAAGCAGGATTTGAGCCTGGTAAGCACTTGGGACTTGAGATGTCTTCAAACATTCATTCGCTTGAGCAAAGAAGACAACTGCCGATGATGCCAGACAGTTCAACATACCAGGGGTTGTTGTAAAATTATAAGATTGTATAAAATGGTTATCCGTAAAGTGTCATTTAAATTATGTGAACTTGTCCCATCTTGGAAGCTAGACAGTTTGAGCCTGGATTGTGTTTGGATGGGTGACCACCACCCAGGTTCTGTAGCCATGGGGCTGCGAGGTGTAACCTGGAGATGGCAGTGCTGAGTGTCATTTCCCACTGTGTGTGGTGCTGGGGCTTATCTGGATTCTCCAGTTTCCTTCCAAATGAAATCAAACACTCATTAATAACTCGCCAATAATCCCAATGAAAGACCCTCCTGAAAACAATTATTGAGACTCGATGAGGATGTCCGGGATGAATGGCATCATGATGTCCTAATTCTGAAGTCCCCACCTTTGTGTATGGATATTGAAACTACATAATTAGAGCTATGATATTTGGATTTCCATATTTGGGTTTCCAAATTGAAGGACAAACATGCTCATCTGCATTAACTTTTTAAAAATGACTGTCAAATTGTTTGACCACCCTAAAGAAAAATTATTCCTGCAGTCACGAAAGCACCTGATCAAGTTCGAACCACCTTTATGGGAAGGTATGAAGTCTGTGTCTTTGTGTTTTTCTGCTGGTGTATCTGCCTTTGTGTCTTGACTTGGTGTTTGTATCGCTGTGTTGTCTGCCTGTGTTTGTGCCTTGTGTCTCCGAGTGGGCGCTGCGACAGCCTCCACAGCCCCCTGTGTGACAACTCTTGTCCTCTACCCGCACCGTCCTTTGATATGTGCTCTCTTCATGCTAATTTTTTGTCCCATTGTCTCTGAGCCCCAGCCCCACCGTCTCTGTCGTCACAGAGATGCCGCTTTACTTCTTCACTGTGTGCCTGTCTCTCCCCATGTCTCTTTACGGTCTGTGTTCCATCACTCTCTTAAATTTCACACTTAACTTACAATTTAGCAATCTTTGAAATAGCGTAATCTACCAGACCATGCGCTGTGTTTTAACCGACCGTCTGTGTTGCTTTATATAGTTTCCAAATTTTACTAAACCCTGTTTGATTTAGTGTGCTCCGTCTCTCTCTGTGTCCCCTGGTGTGTGTGTTAATTCCCTCTACTTAAGGTCTGTATATATATCTGCGGTTATGTTTCCTCTCTCTCTTAAATTTAGCTCTTCTGTACCTGATGATGATTGCTTGTGTTGCAATCGAAACGTCGTATGCTATTATAGAATTTTATTTTTTATTATTTCTACGTGACTTTACCGAAAAAACCAAAGAGAAAAATTATTTGTTGCAACTTTAAATGATATATCACGATCAATGTAATAAAAGGTAAAATTTGTTACATGTGATGTACATCAAAACAACACTATAAAGTGCACAGAAATTATTCAAGCTGCAATCGGTTTACACTTTTAAATATTATATTTCAAGTTCATCATGATATAATGGACCAGTGCTGTTATTATGGTGCAGAGATGTGGGCACCGAGGATGGAATAAGAAAGATGAGGGCTTGAAAGGGCAGAGGTGAAGATGCTGAGATTGAAGTTGGGAATACCTCAAGAAAAATGAGGAATGAAGACGTTAGAGTCTTAGCAGGGGTTATAAATATTCTGAAGGTGAAGTAGGCAAGATGTAAATGGTTTGGAAATGTGTTGAGAAGAGACAGAGAAGATACAAAGAAGATGCAATTAGTTACGATCGGTGCAGGGCAGAAGGAGCAGAGGGAGACCTAGGGTGATGTGGAAGGATGCGGGCAGAAAGAGATGTGAAAATAGTGGATGTGACTAGGATGTACAGAAGCATACGAAGAACGAAAATCAGAGCAGTAGAGCCCCTCTCATGACAAAATGCTGTAAATAATGCCTCCTGCATATGTCTGTTTCTTCACATCAAACATTTAATTATTTGTTTACACAAACTATTGGCCACATGGCCTTCTGGAAGTATATCTTATGCGTAGCATTGCTTCAATGTAAGAAAACTTTGGACAAATGTTTACGTTCACTTTCTCATCATCAGCAGTCAGCCTGCCTTGAAATAATACATGTTATATCGGTGGTAGAAAAGTGTACGATGTGATTTGCCAAAGGCCAACAGGCTTGCATGCTAATTACGCTTGAGGGCCTTCCCGCTCCCAGAAGCGATGCCCACGGCAAGCGGCACGGCCAGCATCGCGATGATAGGCGCCAGCGTGCCCTTCGCAAAGCACAGCAGGTAGAAGATGGCCGGCGAGGCGCTCGGTAGCCGGACCCACTCGGCCGCGTGCAAGATGCCCAGCGAGGCCGCGGCGCAGGCGAGACGGCTGCGGTGCGAGCCGGGGGCGGGGGCGGCGCCGGGCCACGCCGCCAGGCCCAGGCCCAGGCACGTGCCCGAGTCACGCATGAGAGAGGCGAGCGGCGTGGTGTCGAGCCGCACCCACTCGCGCCGCATGCACCACCGCTCCGCCAGCTGCACCGACCTGCGCAGGCGTGCCACACGTGTTGGATTAACGGCTACCGCGTGCGTCACCGTTGTCACGGTCTCCAAGTGCTTGTAACATCAGTGATTAGCCGCGTACTGAGTTTCTCTCCCATTCCTCCAACTCTACCTATATTGAGTGCACTAGCAGTTGGTGTAAAAACTAAGGTCATGCTTAAAATATTTGCATTTCTTTTCATTCGTGTGCTAAGCTTCTAAAGTTTTAATACAAAAAAAATACCAAAAAACACATTTTGCTATTTGAAATTAAGCTCCAAATTTGTTATAAAATGTCTTGCAAATTAGTCATAAAAGTTTGGGGTTAAAAATGTATTTGACTTTCCATTGCATCGTATAATAAGGTTTTAAGAGCATTTTACATGGTAGCATGCTACGCTTCCACAACGATTATAAATGAGACCCAAGCTAATGCTTCAGGAGTCATGTGGGATTGTGTGGAAGCATGGTGCCTGTACGGGGGATATGTGCAATGTGAATAGTGAATCTGCAAGTATTCACCAGTTGATGTTGAATCCCAGGAACTGCATTCCGTAGAACATGGCGAAGGCGATGCCTAAAAGGCTGAGAGACCAAGCTACGTAGGGAAGTAGCCGCTGTGTTTTGGGCAAATATCTACCGAGGACCTGACCCAGAAATAGTCCTGCATACACACAAAGACAAAGATCATCTGTGTAGCCTGAACGCCTGTTGGGGAAAGGACTGTTAGCAAACACCAACCAAGGCCAGAACAGCGTACTACTGGGTGGTGTGGTGTCGCCAGCTCAAAGAAGACACACACAAACTACCAATACCTGTACATTGGCCAGGCTTAACTTAATGGCAGTATGCCAAGTATTATTTTATTTAAACATAAATCAACTTTGATGTGCTGCATAAAAAATATATTATTAATGCAACTTCAGCATTTGATTATTCACATCGGTAAAAAATAATTCAGCTTTAGAAAAACACTGCATCGAACAGGTGTGGTCGATAACCTTAACGTGAACCACGTGGACATCTATCCATCACTAATTTATCTGGAGTCAACATGTCTTACGTCGACTGCCCACAAAACTTGGACTATGTTGCCGTGCATCAAATGTTTGGCACCAACTTTCGATGCTGACATTTTCTTATAATCTACTCTATGCAGAAAGCTCTTTTTAAACCTTTAGCATGTAAACTGGCCACCCCTTCTCTATATCTCTCCGTCGTGTATTACCTGCGAGCGTTCCGCCCAGCACCTGGTGCGGGAAGTGAGCGAGGATGTAGATGCGGGACACCCCAACAGCGGACAGCAATGCCAGCAGTGTCCCGTATGACACGGCCCAGGCCACCCACCTGGCGAACAACACGCGGCACCAATCGCTAAGCTTGGTACGTAGCGACGATGTAACGGCTCGTCGATTCAAATACTTACGCACATGAGATACATGCATTTAATTGAGTGAGAATATATTTTTTATTCCTATATGCGAGTCACATGACCCCTGCAGCCAAGAAAGGTGGGGCATTCATTGAAACGTTAAAAAATGAATCAATTCTGGAATTGAATCGTGATCCCAAATTGTGACAATTGGGATAGTTACGTTAATCTACTTCATCCCCTATGGAGCATAAGGCCGCAATGAGTTCCCTCCACTTCTTCCTGTCCTTGGCAACATGTTGAGCAGTCGATAGCTGCCAGCTCGTCCTTCACGGTCTTGTGTCAGGTGGTCTTGGGTCTAGATTGAATCTCTTCATTTCACGGAGGACTTGGGCTGTCTTTGATGTCTCATACATAGTGCGGACGTTCCATGTACCAAGTCTTATCTTGGCTTTAGCACCCAGTAGACTCTCCTTCACACTCCTGACTTCCAACAGGCTTTCATCAGGAGTGGTCATACTGCCTGTCGGTAGGCTTGAGCCTACTTTGGCCCGAGTGTTATCTCTCTTGATTATTTTGGTTTCCACAACAAACCTTTTTTTCCAGGGTAGTTATATGGGTGCTACACCCAACCCCTAACCTGGAGGGCCGGTATGCTGTCGAGACCGGTCCGGTATGGTTAAACCTGCCAGGAGCCAGAAATCCCCACTGGCATAGCTCTCAGGGTCTTTGAATCACACAAGCCTCACCGCTACAACAAGGTCACATCAAGACGGCGAGGGACAATTTGGGATGGTTACTTGCTACTGCTGGTGCGGTGACTGAACATCTACATATTTTAATGTGCCACACAAAGTGGTTGTCTTGTGGAGAGATTGGCCCACATCATATAACTTTGGTATTCCTGAATGCCTCTGGCAAAGATGAGCACAGCTCAAGGTTCATCTGAGCAGTGGGACACTTGACTGTGGTGTAGGGCCTTGATATGGATGTGCTATAGAATGGATGCGCAGTCCGATGGTTGACGTTTGACAGCACTCGCTTGCAACTCATTGAACACTTCCCCTTAGTGTATGAGTGCGCTCGTAGATGGTGCAGCTTCATTGTGCAATGCACATCAGAATTTAGTCATCACCATTAACAACATTTATTTCATAAATCAATGGCCTTATCCTGTCATTGTCATCCATCATGGTGATGTCACAATCCATCCCATCCTCCACATTAACTGATCTCATCGTTCCATCTCTTGGGGAGGTGGGTCATCTACTTGTCCATGTTCCTACCCTCGGCTGACAATCCGTCACCAGTCCCATCTATCGGCCACCATCCCGACTATGTGTGTGTGTTGGCCGTGTGTGTGTTGACCAAGGGTGCAAAATATTGTGCGTGTCTCTTGGCCATATATATATAAAAAAAAATGTGGGTCTCCAGACACCCAAGACACTCACAATGGCTACATCCCTGCCATGGCATCTTCGATTAGTAAGGTTTACTACGTACGGTGCGAAAGAAGTTTAACATACATACATATGACACCCCAAGAGCCTTCATATTCATTACCTCCTTCGCACGACCGTCAGACCTGGCTTCCTTACTTGTTGGCAATGGAGCGAAGGCGGGCAGACGTCCACGAAGCCAGCACCACCCACGCTGCGGCCGACACCATGGCATGGCCTGACGGGCTGCCTGTAATAAGCAGCACCACACACCGCAGCAGCACAAACAACACAAATGCGTTCACGCAACACGTTAACCCCCTACGTCTTGGGTGGGGAACCATTTCTTTGCTGAGGGTTGATGAAGACTTTCAAATACCTTTGACAGCAGTCACACTTTGAAACACGTTTCAGTCTGTCACTGCAGTGACAAAAGTGACTGATTGCATTAGAATTTGAAACAGTGTTGCCAGATTATGCTTCATCACACTAGTCATAGAGCAGTACACTAATCAATGCACCATAGCTTGGTTTTACTTCATCAATTCAGCGAGGTGTGTTGAGTCGGTCAAAAAAGTCAAGTTTTGTCTGTGAGCCCCTGACCAGGAAGTGGTGCCCATGGCAAGTTTAGGGAAAGTCTGACCGATTGCAGACCAAGCTCTGGCTCCAATGGCGGAACAAGGGGGCTTTTAAAAAAATTCTCAAAAATTTTATTTAATGGTTTCTGTGCAGCATCATGAGTTTCAGTTGCATTAAAAATGCTACTTAAATATGCATTGCTGTTGTTGTTGTTGCCGACTTGTGTGGTACTCATGTTATTGATTCCTGACCAGAATTTAAACTCAACATTCCAACTGTAAGTTTACTGTTTTTCCAATAGAATCACCGACTGGATGAATGTTAGTCTGTACATGAATATTAATTCATAAGCTCAAAATTTGTACATCTAATTGGTGTATCTACGAATGTTTTCGATGCTTTTATGTTGGAGACAATGGGTTCACGTCACACCTATATAAAAATATATATACATTCTTGAATGAACTGTGATCCTGAATGGCAACGATTATCAAATCCTTGGGAGGGCAGGAGGGGGGAAGACCCGGGTGCAAGGGTTCGTGAGATCAGTGCATGCGCAGGAGCAAGATGGATTGTTGCATCAGTAGACCGTGGGAGATGGTGATGGCTTGGGAAGGCCTTCATCCAGCTTTGGAGTAATCATGACTGTTGATACATATTGTTAAGAAAGTTTCATTGACCAGCAAACAATTACTACGAAAATTGATGAACCATCGGGCAAGTAGGATCACCTGGTCCAGTTTCACAGGTGTTGGGGAACTGTTCCAGCTGCAAGATGCCGGTGGAGTTAAAACCAGACTCGAGCACCCACCAGTAGGGCCGCTCACCAAACAGCAGCCTGCAGATGAACACAGCCACAGGAAAATACATTGCATTTGTACTTCATAATTTATAATTTCTCCTAGCCAGGTCAAATTAAACATATCGAGATGAATCGCTGACTTGAAGATGTATTTTTTTTAAGTTAACAGTTAAGTTAACATGACATAATTATGATACGAGCAGGTATGAAGTGTTTGGAATGGCAATTAGTGTCATTGAAAGTGGAAAGCACCTCAATAAAAGTGAAAAGGCCACACTAAGCAATGAAGGTAAAGTGCACATTGTTTGGGTAAATATTACATTAGCCAACCAGACCGTCGCCAATGGTGGCTGGTTGCTCAAATATTTGGGAGGTCAGTGCGGGTGGGGAGGGGGCTAGAGGATACTACTCCTGCTAAATCGGTTGTGCAGTTGTGTGCCAACAAGTAGTCAGGGGAAGTATTGTGCATCACTACTTCACGATCAAAAACATCACCACTATTATCATAACCAGCCCAGAGTCCTTCAACTGAACAAACTAGCCAACCAGATCATAGGACTAGCCATAATTATTTTAGTTTTCATTGAAGTTTCTTTGCAAAATTGAGATATGTTTTTAATACACCTAGGGGTTTTTCTGTTCAAATCAATACGAACATGTGTAAAACTTTGTATCTTCACATTTTAGATTCCTTTGAAAACTATTAAAATTAAAAATATATATATATTTTACCAGGTAAGGCCCACTGAGCTATATAGCTCTTTTTCAGAAGCGACCTGGCCACAAATGATTGCTCAAAAAAGTGGCTTATCATGTGGAACAACTTATAGCAGCCAAATACTCTAAATGCATGTTTATAAATGTGGAGTGAAAAACCGAAGGACCCAGAGAAAAATCCACACGACCACAGGGAGAACATGCAAACTCAAAAAATACAGGCGTTGGGGTCGGGATTGAGCCTACAACCTCCAATATACCAGGTGAGGTAGTTAACGTCTAGCCACCATGGTGCCAAAAACAATGGTGCCCATTTAAATCATAAATGGGCCACATTTGTTTTAATGAGGTTTTATTTTGGCCCTCTAATAAATTTTCCCAAAATATGCTTAACTTATTCCACCATATTTATTTTTTTGTTGTAAACCCAAGACATCAGTTCAGAGCAAATAGTTTGTCAAAATATTTTTTTAAAAACCCAGGACTGTCGTCCTCATGAGCTAGGGAAGGGGGTGGGGGCCTAATTATGCACCAGCCTTGACCAAGTTGGGGGGGAATTTGTTTGGGCAGGGGGGGCCTTGTCAAATATCACAATATTCACTACACGCTTCTTAGCCTTGAACAGTCTGAGCGGAAGCCTTGCGGATTTTCAATGGTCCTACGTTTTAGAAAATCTATTAAACAGATGACGTGATGCTGTTGTTCAATCATTGGCACAAGCCCCATAATGACGACAATGATCCCTATGGGGTCACGCCTTCAAGGTTTGTCCGTTTGTGAAACATTGTGAAATGGTCTTGAGGACGTATTCTCCAGGCCAGACACGAATCTGGAGTTTAACTATCTGGCTCCGTGCAGAGCTCTAAACTCCACTAAGACATTGCGAGCGGTGACTCGAGATGTACTGACGGACAGCGTGAGCACAGACGGAGAGCGATTACAGGTTAGTGCTGCTGCTGCTGCCACTGCGGTCTGCTTTTCAGAATCAATGTGAGCTCTCTGGGTTCGATGCACCTGACCAAGCCCAGATACCTGAATGATGCAAGTCAGTGCGCGCTTGGCGCGAGCCTCGCTTGAGTCTCACTCATTGAGCGTGAGATTGGCGAGGAGGCTCTCCGTGAGTTTCAACGCATCGAGCGTCGCGAGTTTCCTGCGAGGCCCTCACGCATTAGGGGCGTGAGAGGCTTGCCAGGATTTGAGCTCCGGTACACTTGGGGCAATATTCCCCCCCACCCCTCTTCCTCACCATTTGAGCACCAGGTTGAGCCACTCTGCCATCAGAGCCACCCAGAGCACGGCGCGGCCCAGGCCTGGGCAGAGGCCGTGGGCAAGCGGCATCAGCAGCAGGTGCGCAGTTCGCGGGTCCCCGAGGTCGCTCGCAAGCAGCAGGAGGCGCGCCAGGGGCCCGGCCTCCCCAGCGGCTCCCGTCGGGCCCCGCACGGCCGCCTGGAGCCTCGCCGCCACCTCCACGCCGTGCGCGTATACTGCCGCCTCCATGGGTGCACTCTGGGGGTGAGTGATGGGAGGTGGCGGGGGTTTCAAGAGGGGTTCGATGATTTGGGTTAATCGGTAAGGTGGGTGGGTGGGTAGGTGAGCGAGTTCTGCTGTAAGCAATGTCAGTCGAGCGAGTCGGTCGGTGAGCGAGTCAAGCTGATGTCCACCGCATGGCGGGCATTAAAAGGCCCTGGTACTGCCGCTGATGGCGGTGAAGTCGGGGCCGCCGCGGGCGTTCATTGAGTTGGCACCGGCACATGATGGCCTTCACGAGGGGCCCGACGTGGTGCACGCGAGTGCCGGGTGGGTGCTGGGTGCCCGCCCGCCACCTTCCGTCGGGAGCTTTTGGCGTCGCTCTCCGCGGTCGCCGTGCGATTGGGTGGTGGGTTGCCGACGCCACGTTGGGTAGGGAAGTGAAGCTCCTCCCCCCCCCAACCCCCCCACCTCCCCCAACCCCCCCACCTCCCCCAACCCCCCCACCTCCCCCAACCCCCCCACCTCCCCCAACCCCCCCACCTCCCCCCAACCACCCCCCCCACCTCCCCCAACCCCCCACCTCCCCCAACCCCCCCACCTCCCCCAACCCCCCCCACCTCCCCCCAACCACCCCCCCCACCTCCCCCAACCTCCCACCTCCCCCAACCCCCCCCACCTCCCCCCAACCCCCCCCCCCACCTCCCCCAACCTCCCCCACCCCCCCACCTCCCCCCAACCTCCCCCCCCCAACCCCCTACCTCCCCCAACCCCCCCACCTCCCCCAACCCCCCCACCTCCCCCACCTCCCCCAACCTCCCCCACCTCCCCCAACCCCCCCACCTCCCCCAACCCCCCACCTCCCCCCAACCACCCCCCCCACCTCCCCCACCTCCCCCCAACCTCCCCCAACCCCCCCCACCTCCCCCAACCCCCCCCCACCTCCCCCAACCCCCCCCCAACCTCCCCCACCCCCCCCCACCTCCCCCCAACCTCCCCCCCCCAACCCCCTACCTCCCCCAACCCTCCCCCCCACCTCCCCCAACCTTTGTCGGGTGTTTTTGTTGTGCAGTGTGGTCCAGATGTCTCGTGACCTCCATTGAATTCTCTGAAACTTTTTTTTTAAAGTAACGTCGTTTATTTATAGCTGAAATAAATTCGCAAAGGGACAAAAAGTTTAGGGGTTAGGGGCCGTCCATAAATGACGTCACGCACCTGGGGGGGGGGGGGGTGGGGGGGGGGTCAGACATTTGTGACGATGTGTGACGAGGGGGGGGGGGTTGAGAAATGTGACGTCACATCAAAATGCGCAACTTTAAATAAATATAGACAACACGTTCTACGTAATTAAATAGACTTTTTAATAAATGTTTTTTTTTCCTACAACATCATAGTGCAGCGCCACATTACAATGACAATAGTTTAAAGCGATTTGAAGCATGTTTTATTTGGGGGGGGGGGGGGGCAGAGCTTTGTGACGTCATATTTAAGGGGGGGGGTCTGACTTTTTGCGACGCCGTGTGACAAGGGGGGGGGGGTCAAAAATCGTCAAAAATCACGTGACGTCATTTATGGACGGCCCCTTGATTAAAACGAAATTTGGGCGGGGGCCACAAGACATCTGGAGCACCCAGTACACGGACGCCATGTTGGGCAAGGAGGTTGCGTGCGAGTTCAATTGAGCGACTTGAGCTCCATCTTTCGTAGGTAAAGTGTGGACACCTTTGCGTTGGGGAGGGTTGAAGCGTTGCATGTGGAGGCCGGTGACGAGTGGGGCGCCCGCTTGAACCGGATTCTGGGCCTCCCCTAGGTCGACTCAGCCTCAAATGACTACCTGGTGTGGTGTTTAATCATCTCCACTGGGGGAGACAAAGGCGGCCGGGCGTGGTTGTTGACCGTCCACACCCCCTCGTCTGCCGTGCCGGCCTTCATAGGTGCTCGCTAACAGCACCAACAGTCTGTTAAGGCCACGTATCGTTGTCTTTGCCGCGGTGGGGAGATGTTATTTATCTCGCCTGGTATACAGGAGGTAGGTCGTGGTGGGTTCGATCCTGACCCCAGCGCCTGCTCTATATCTGGAGTTTGCGTGTTTCTCTCCGTCATCGCGTGGATTTTTGACCGGGTTCCTCTGGTTTTTTTTTCCCCCCACCACATCTAGAAACGCGCGGTTATAGAGCATCTGGCTGCTGGACATTTGCACATTGGAAGCCGCTTCGTTGAGCTATCATTTGTGACCAGGTCTGTATAGCTCAGTGGGCCTGACTTGGTCAAATTGAAAGTTGTAAGCTTTAATCTTGGTTGGGGTGGACGTCATGGATGTAGGGAGGCGCGGTTTGTCCATTAGGGGCGGCTGGGGCATTGCCCCACCAAACAACTGGAGATGAGAAATCTTTTTCTAATACATTTTTTTTAAATAAATAGCTTTGTTGTGTTTACATTTTTTTATATATACACAGTGATTCTTTCAATGTGACTTGCCGAATGAAGATCATAATTGAAGTTCATATTAGAAACCGCTGCAACTAATTTGCGTCGTGGGGACATCTCGGGGCGGCTGTGAAGGCGTCCGAGTGAGAGATATCCCTCCTTCATTCATTGCGATCAGCTTCGTAATTTAGCCACGCTGTTTGAGACCCATTCAGGACGGTGAAAAAGGCGCCCGTGGCTGTAATGAGACGATGTCACAACGCGAGGTTGCGCTGTGCAATTACAGCAGCTCACGGCTTTTGGCAATGTCAAGAGGGGTTGTGTTTCGTGGACTTGAGGGTCATGGGGACAGCATTTGAGTGCTCAGTTGTATCGTTTCGTATTGTTTATAAATGCCTGCCGTTGGTAGATAAGATATCACTTTCACGCGAAGTCCAATAACACGACGAGGCTTTTCTCAATTAGTGCACCGTGTTTTCAGAGGTCACTCAGAACAGCCCCACGTAGTGAAAATGTCACGAGCCGCCACTGCATGTGGATGTCACTCTGGGCGGTGTGTTGAGTAGTAAACTTAGTCTAGAGTCTAGATTCCAGGGGTTTGTAACCTGCGGATCCAGAGCCGCACGTGGCTCGCAAGGGCCGCTTCGTGGCTCCAGAGCCGATAATTGCAAAGTAACACGAGGAAAACCCCTCCGAATTATTTTCGATAAACGGTGAACGTCTAAAAGCCCAACAGTGATTCGTCATGCAGCATTATAAAGTATTGTGCGTGTGCTGTTCCTAAAATAGTGATTACAAAAAAACATGGTTTGACATAGCCGTCTTGTATTCACATGCACTGTGGCTCTCGAAATATTTAGGGGTGTTTTTTTTACCAATTCAAAGAAAATAGCCCTTCTTGTTATTTTGGTTGCTGGCTCTTGCACTCTAGAGCATCGATACAGTCGCACAAACTCACAAATACAAAATTTATTCCACCACAGCCTAGGATACAACATTTGCACATTCTTATACCGACTATACTTTTGTAATGCGTTTACAACGCAGTGAGTAAAGAGAAACGTCTGATTCTAATGGAGCAATATATCACGGGTTTCCAATTGGAAACCCGTTTATAGAATTAATGTGAGGTGTCACGTTGATTATTAAATTCCAGAACATTTCGTAAAAAATAACATGAAGCCAATTCAGGCATTTTCGAAACGCAACTTTTTTCAATTAAAACTTGAGGGGTTGGTGGATCATGCCGAGCAGGGACGTGCGGTCAGGGGAGGCAGAGCCTCACCTGTCATACTCCAATGAAAATAGCTGTTACGAAAAAAAGAATGAAATAAATATTTAGATTTTTCCACTGATCTGTGTTATAAATGTCATTTCTGTACGATTCCAATCATTTTTATAGTCAAAATCGCCAAATTTGCGGAGCTCCGCTGCAAATAGAGGTAGAGACGAGAGGTGAGGCAGCGACGAGCTCAGCCTCCCCTCTGATTGCCCAACCCCTCAGTAACTGGATGGAGCGTGGGCAATACGCGCGTGCCTGTTACTATCTCAGTATGTCACCAATGTGATGTTTGTAGACCCCTTCATTTCATGTCCTCGCCTTCCATACTCCAGTTAACTTATTTCACGTATGTGTATAAAGATATTTAGGCTCGCTGGTCTCGTCATGAAACTGCAATGAAAAAGCACCAGGGGAGGCAGCGATCACATCTGCCTCTGATGCCACGCCCCCTCAGTAAGGCCACGCCCCCTCCGTGAGGCCACGCCCCCCCTCAGTGTGTGACTGACTCGACCACTAGCCAGTACCTCCCCAGTCATTGACCTCACCGCACGTCACTGATGTCGAGATGGATCCATGATTTGCGTGGGACACTCACATTTAAGATCAGCAACGTGCCTGTGGTACAACAAGGAGGTTGCTGACTTCTATGTGTGGAGTTTTAGTGATCTTCCCTAAAAAATGTCAAACTCGCAGCCTGTATGTCCTTTGGACATGACCGTCCGTCCCTCCCTCGAGCTAGCCGGCTAGCCAGCGAGCAAAACTTTTTTTTCTGATATACTGTAGAATGACATAAACAATCAAATGAACCAGTTATGTAAAGTAAGACCCACTTGAAAACCAGGCATGAGGTTCCACTGGGTAAATGTAGCAGTGGATTGTGTCAATTCAGTATTGGACGAGGGCCTCATCATGCCGTCCGGGTCTTCGGTTACTTGGACATACTTCACCACGTTGGTCAGGGCGGGTTTGGTGAAAGCAGGGAGCGTGTAGATATTGGCGCAAGGGTACAATATAACCATTGTAGCCGTGAGGAAACGTATTATATAGTATTATCATCATCACTAGAGGGCAGCCCGTCTTACGAACGAGGTGGATCTTCATGCAATTCTAACCACTCTAACCACCTTCACGTGCAAACGTCCACAGCAAACCATCAATGTAGCACAGTACTTTATACTGGAGCAGCGAGTGGTTTTTTTTTTAAACGGCCCATATAAGGGAATGTATTTACGTTAAGCGAAATGCAAACACGAAAAAAAATGTAGAAGGGGCAAACCTTTGACGCAGTAACGCCATCCATCGCTCACGAGCTGACCGAAGAAATGAATTTATTCCTCAATGTTTTCTTTACAACACGGAGCACACACACACAGCCATAACATACTTTCGTGGTAAGTGCTGTTAGCGAGCGACTATGAGGCTTTAGTGTGGCCAACACCAATGCCCGGCCGCCTTTGTTTCCCCATTTGTTGATGTTTACACTCCACACCAGGCAGTCGTTTAGGAACTGAATCGTCACATGTGTTGGTCGTGAAACGGGAAACGAACTCGGGTTACCGAGTTCAGAGCGCGGCGTACTACCCGCTGCACTCTAGATTTGAAGTGTTTCGTGACTGCAGGGATCCATACTCTTTGGTTCTTTCGGTAAAGTCACGTAGGTAGAAATGTATTTTATACCTACGTGACTTTTCTTTCGGTAAAGAGTATCCGCTGTACTATCACTCTCCACCTACACATGCATATACAGATATCTGGGCGAGCACACACGTGAGTGCACACAATTCACAAATACATAAACGTGCACACACACACTAGCGCACACGCATTCATACGCGTGCACACACACGCATATACATGTTTATAAAGCGTACGACAAAAATCACCCGCGAAGCCTCTGTCGTTTGACCATACTTCACGCTGAGCAGTGAGGTGTGGCGAAGGTGATGCGTAGGGCCGATCCGGACGTCATTCGCGACTGATATCAACCGTGACTGGGAATGGAACGGAGATCTCCTGGTTCACAGTGCAGTGCGCTAAGCGCTGGACTATTCTTCTGGGTTATTTCGGTAAAGTCACGTAGAATGGGAATAAAATAATACAAATAATCATTATTTCGGTAAAGTCACGTAGAATGGGAATAAAATAATACAAATAATGATTATTATTACTAAAAATGATAATAAATATTATTTGTATTATTTTATTCCCATTCTACGTGACTTTACCGAAAGAACCCAAAAGATGAATCCCTGCAGTCACGAAATCTTTAAATCGCTGGGCTATTAATTCAGAAAACTGGGTTCATAGCGCAGTGTGCTAACCGCTGCGCCGCCTCTCCCCCTCGTTTCTCAATTCCGTCATAAATGAATAGTTGGCACAAAAAAAAACACGGGCTTATAAATTACTCTTAAGTAACTGGGGTCTCAACGGCCAAGAGCCCAATGCATTGGCGAAATGAATGCAAGCGCATTGTAATGTGTTCCATGTCTGGCCTGTTGGACAGCATACATGCTTATTTAGACCCACCCATACGCACGACGTACTCAGCCATGATCAATCCACTGCTGAATGAAGGCCTCCCCAAGCCGTGACCATCTGTCACAGTCCGCTATGTAAAAAAACATCCACCCGCCACCCGGACACCTCGACAGCAAGCGCTGCATTGTGACGCATTTCCTGGGGTGTCGCGACCGATATACCATCGTGATTGATTTAATAAGCAAGCGAGCCTCTGCTTATGAGACGCTGGACGTCGAAATCGGTCCAGATTAAACCAACGCTGCTGGAAAAAAAGACGCATTCCCAAAAGATCGCGTGATTATGTAAACACGCAGTACTGTACTTGCGTATTTGTACGTGGAGAGACAATTCGGGAAGGATGCGTTACCGCATTTGTTTTGCGGCATCGCGAGTTAGCGTGTCACTGAAATAATTGCACTGACATTTGTGGCAATTAACCCGCGCGGAAATGTTTAATTAGAATGTGTTCCTTCGCTCCCCCCCCTCGTCTTTCCGCCCAACTACCCTAACCCTTTTCACCCTCTCACAGCCCTCTCTCTCTCTCCTTACTTATATCGAGACGTTGACAAAAGCCGTCTTTGTGTAGACTGTTTAAAGTAGTATTATTTCGGAGCGGTCGTACATTTGTACGTTTGCGTTATGAATGAACCCGAGTCTGTCTCGACCCAGGCCCGTACAGTTAATATTTGTGTTAGCGCTGAGAAAGAAAAAAAACATAATGCGTACATTTGCAAGCCGCGGCCGTTCTGATTTTGGAAACCAGACTGTGGCACTTGCGAGTGTGTGTACTCAGTAACGCGCTGGCCTTGTGTGCACACGTGTGTGTGTGCGTTTATGTGGGAATTCGGTAGTGTCCTGGTTAGCGCGCTGCGCTACAAACCCTTGCGACTCGAGCTAGATTCCTGCTCACATCCACCAACAGCGGTGACGATTAATCCGAAGCGGTCCTGGGTCTCCCCTAGGTCGACTCGGCCTCAAACGAGTACCCGGTGCGGTGGGTAAATATCACCACTTAGGAGACAAAGGCGGCCGTGCGTGGTGCTGACCACCCAACCCCTCATGTACCGTGCGAGCCTGAAAAGTCCGTAGAGGCTATACGGGGGATCATTGTCTTTGTGGGTATGTATGTTGAGAAGCAGTGGCGTATTAAAATAGAGCACTGCACTACGAACCCTGCCTCCCTAGTTCGATTCCCAGCCACACCGAAGATCAGTGGCGCGTGATATTTGAACAGCTATAAAATTAGTTACATAAGTACGGTTTGTAAACAGCAGTTGGGATAAAAAAGGCGACCAGGCATGATGCAGAATGTGTGATGTGTGACATATACCATCTTTATTGATTCCTTTACCAAACACATGCACTTTTAACATTTTGGGTCTACCGAGCCATTTTTTTGTTACCTGAAATGCCGTACTGAACCTACTGACCCTGTGAAATACAAGGCCCTGGTGCTTTTCGGTCTTCTCCCGCTATACATCTCTTTTAGCGTCGTACTGTTCTAAAAATGACAACAAAATTAGTTATCGAGAATATGATGTCATCTTTAAAGAAAATTCTGATACAAATGTTCGAAGGCCTGAATTAAAACAAGTACAAATTCCAAACCTCTTACCCTCAAATTCTCGGGTGCCCCAACATATACATTTTTAAATGCCCTTTTATATCGTTTTAGATAAACACTCGGCTATATTGTATTTGTGACATAATTCAGCTTTCTTACCCTTCTAGAAGATCGTTAGAACTTGGATCACTCACCGCATCATCACTCACCCACTTAGGACCGTCGTACATACAGCACTTGCGGCAACAACCTGTAAACCGGTGTACAAATGAGCGGCGTTCTCCATGCACCTGTGCATTGTACACAGCACGAGAGGCAATGAACGGGACGCATTGTGCTAATGAAGGCACTGGGGTTTTTTTTCCCCCCACCTTAAAAAGGGACCTTTGCATTAAATCTTGCAGGACCTGTATTTTGGTTTATAATTGCGGCACTGGTTTGTGTTCCTGAGTAAATATCGCGCGCGTGGGACCGCGTGAATGGTGAGGCGTGCAGCGTGGAGGTCCGCACGCACACGGCAATTTCTAGTAATTGCTTCGGTTCATTGCACGCTACTCGTAACTGTTTACCCGTGGCAGCACACCGCGGGAGTGGGAATAGAGTCACGAATATGATGGATGGGAAAATAAAAAAAGGGAAGAGGAAAAAGAAGAGAAACGGGATGGAAGAGGAATGCACGCACGAGCAGCATCTGTTTCCAGATGGGGCGGGTAAAGGGGATGGATTCAGAGTGTGGGAGAGCCCAAGACAATACGGTTCCAGATATCACCCGCCACTCATGTTAGCCGTGACCGGCATCCTGGGAATTGAACTCGGGTCGTCGAAATTGTAGTGCAGTGTACTAACGACCGCGGCACTACTCGCAAATACAAATACGGTGTACGAATGTTAAAACGTCGATGTTTGCACGCATTATTTGATGCATGGATCATGAGCCTTAAAAATCGGCATTAATCGATTAAAAATAGATGCATTGTCACATCCCTAATAGCAGGGTCGCAGCTACACTGTGGGGCTTTGGAGTGCCCTCCTATGGCGAATGGTTCATATTAGATTCGCGAAGTTCTCCCGACACTTCGTTATGGATAAAAATCAGTTCTACTGCTGCACTATAGTAATAGGAAATCCTCGCAACTACCCGGTACTGACTCAGTACTGAGCCGACTAGCCGCGCGGTGTACTGTGTATTTATATGAGACTTATCTAGTCTCTTGAATTCTTACCTGGTTAAACAAAATACATGTTGACTTCACCTTAAATATTCCAAACATCATCATTATAATCAACATCACTTCGTTGGAAGGGAGAAACCGCGCACTCAAAAATGCCATTATATTCGTAGCAAATATTGAGGATGTCTCTTAGCCGCGTCGAAACATGTTGGGAGTGTTTGCACACCCACCACCCCATTAGTGGCTGCTGCTCCTCTGCCCACGACGGCGCTCACGATATTCGTGCAGCTAGGGGTCGTGGGCGCATATGGGGCTGGGGTGGGGATGTGTGCAGGGTTGGGTTGGTGGATGAGGAGGAGGATACATTTCTCCACTCGTCAGCCAATAGAATCGCGGAACTAATAAACGCGGGCGTGGCGTGCGCACATGGCAAAGAGTCGCCGAGCGCAAAGTTGCTCAAAGTTCGGAGAGGTAGGAGGGAGGGAGCCATCGAATTCGTTTTTCCAAGGAGACTTTCTGCAGCAGGGTGGAACATTATTGGCACGTCTGGGACAGCAGTGGAACCGAATCCAAGGCGTACAAAGAGACACGCAGGAACACAAGTAGAGAGGCGCATAGAACAAGGGCAGAGAAAGACGCAAAGAAAGAGAACACCTCTTATGAAGACACTTATAAAATACATATATACGTAGAACATATCGATTATAAAAAAAATTACGCTTAACAATTCGCGCTCAAGCACGTATAAAGACAGAAACATTTAATAAAATACACATAGAAAGACATAGAACAACATAAAAGGGAAAACCCGTATAAATAGACAAATATAATCACTTAGACACAGAGAGAAACAGAAACAAATATTAGCACAAAGACGCTTATAAAGACAATATCACTGACAAAGACAATAGAAACAACTCTTAGAAAGGCACAGAAAAATCTCACGTTAAGCCTCAGAAAGTCGCGCATACAAAATACACGCGGATTAGAAACTCGCGTAGCAAGAAGAGGCGGAAAAAAAAACGGAAGCGGGCCGCTCTAACGGGACTCGATTTTCCAAACTCTGCCACTCGCGTCTAGCTCACCTCGCTCCATCGTCATCCTCGCTCCAAGTCCAGAGTGGGTTCGCTCTCCTTCAGCCAGAGTCACCGGGATCCGGTCAAGCGAGGTCGAGGCCGCAACGGGGAGGTGGGGGGTCATTGATATCGAAGTCGGCAGGGGGTGAAGGATTGAACTCGGCGGGTGGAGAGTCGGGGGACTCTAGGAACCATGGAGTCTCCCGTGAACGGCTCTCCGCTCACTCCCTTCTCATGCAGTGAAGATGACTCCCCTGGGCGTCCCGCGCCCAAGAGAAGCTCCCGCAAGAAACGCCCTGCGCAGGGCGGAGGAAGAGCAGCGACATCGTCAGTATCAGCGACATCGTCAGCAGAGGCAGCAGCAAGAGGACTGCCAACATCTCCTGTGTGCAGAGGAGACGGCAGCGGCAAGCGGAGGCAACGATGCGGGGACGCGGTGGTGCCGGGGGATTGTGGGGCAGCGGACGGCAGCGCGGGCAGCGCGGGCAGTGTTTGCTCCTTGTCGGGGGAAGAGGTCCAGCAGCAGCGCTTCGTGGCGAACGTGCGCGAGCGGCAGCGCACGCAGTCTCTGAACGAGGCGTTCGCGTCCCTGCGCCAAATCATCCCGACACTGCCCTCGGACAAACTGAGCAAAATCCAGACGCTCAAACTCGCCACGCGCTACATCGACTTCCTCTACCAGGTTCTGCAGAGCGACGGCGATGGTGGTGGCGGTGGCGATGTCGGAGTCCTTGGTGGTGGGGGAGGCGAGGGGGACTGCGGCGAGGGTCCCCATGCAGGGGTTCAGTGCGGCAGCAGCTACGCGGCACAGGAGCGGCTCAGCTACGCGTTCTCGGTGTGGCGCATGGAGGGGGCCTGGTCAATGTCGGCCTCGCACTGAGGTGAGAGTTGAGGGTGCAGGCTGTGCAACTGCACAGCGGCCCATGGGTGGCCAGGCGCCAAGCTCTGAGGAGATGACACCGGGGAATTGGGTAGGATGCGCCATTTAATTCCCTTGCACCAGGGCCCATAGCAACCACGCTACGATCACTGGAGGTGAGAGTGCAGGCGTGGGGGGTTGTGGGTGAAGAGGGGAGAAAGAGGAGGAGGGGGTGGGGACGAGGTGGGGGGAGGGTGGTGGTGGTGATGATGAAGTGGTGGATGTGGAGGAGTTGATGGAAATGACGAAGGGTAACTGGTGTTGCCTAAGGAGGGATGAATGGAGATGATGGAAGTGACGAGGGGTGAGTGGAGATGAGAAAGGGTGGACGAAAGTTATGGTGATGACCAGGGGGTGACATTGACTGATGGTAAGGACAAATGGTGGATGGAGGTGATGGAGATTATGTAAGCGACGATGTAGTGGATGGTGATGAGAAGGTGGATGAAGATTATAGAGATGATGATGATGGATATAGCTGAGGGGATGGAGAGTGATGTGACAGAAAGATAGCGGTGATTTATCTCAATCGGTACTTGTATCAATAATCTACCCATTCTCTTTGTCAAGACACTGTCTCTGGTGTGGACCAATCAGTTTCAAAGACAATGCATATACTGTCAGAGCATGTTTTTTGTTTGTATTTTCACCACAAGTATCTGTGGTTAATGCAGACATGATTCCTCGCAAAAGGTTCTAGTTTGGTGTTTTAACATCTTAATACCTGTTTTGTTGCCAGAAACACCTATTCTTTTATTTTGACACTGGCAAAGGACGTCCCGCAATGACACTGTATAACTTGTAGTTACCGTGGCAAGTAACATTCTGCCGTAGCGATACCTCTTTGGTCTCTCCTATATATATAGTGTGCGATAATTTTATACGCACCAATAGATCACTTACCGACCCGCACAAAAGAGCTCCGGATTAAATGTGTGTTCAGGAAATGTGTTGAATAATATAAGTTGTTGTATATGGTTCCCAGGGGTGTTGTGGTGGTGCAGTGGTTAGCACACTGCGATATGCATTCTGCCAACTGCGAGTCGGTTTCGCAGCCACGGCTGACAGCAGTGGCGAGTTATCGGTGTGAAGCGGTCCCCCCACCCTCCTCTTCATCAACCCGCACTGACCAGCGCGGTGAAGTATGGCGAAACAACCCCATTATCGATCGACATGGCGTGTATAAGTAATCAATCATTCACGAGTTGATTGTCTAACGTGTTGGTCACTGGGGTTTCTGTGACCATACTTCACCACATTGGTCAATGCGTTTTAGCAAAAGAAGGCCCACGAATAGTGCAGATAGCACTCTGTACTGGCGTTAAATGTGGCCGGGAATTGAACACAGGTCGCTAGGTTCAGGGCGCAGCGTGCCCACTAATCACTGCCGTTTACATACGCGTCTAAATGCGACCACATTTAAATAGGCTGCGACACTTATTCCGGCGTTTGTAGTCTGCAACAGGGCTCTGTGTGTACAGGACTGCAGGTACAGGAGTAGCAACCATCAGTAGGCCGATTACTTGATTGTGGATATGGTAAATGCGTAAGCGTTAAACACGAGTTGATGCGATTTCAAATTCAAGGCTGGCCCTGCCCAAAGAGTAAAATTTATCTGGGACATGATTTTTGAAGGCCCCACTTTAAACATTTCAGTTTTCGAATTATGGACTCGACTCTAATTATACCAAATATAAATATAATTGCCCTGCGAAAACATATTTAACATTTACATCTCGAACTTAGCTACAGTCGTGAAGTACATATTACCAAAAATCACATTTATTGTTATTCCAATCAAATCAGACGAGCAATTCCGATCTAAATAGGTGCTCGCTAAAAGTGGCATAACTACATTTTTAGCTCAGGCGGTGCGGCAATCGGTCAGGTGAGGCCCCAATATTTGATTTGACTCGCAAGGTCACACAGAGGCTATATATCGCGGCTCCTCTTGCCTAATAAGATCATTACGTTCACGGTCTAGAATATTTCACGCTGGTGGGGAGCTCCGTATTTTGCAAAATACTTTTTTTTTATTCTTTTAACTATTGAAAACATATCTCATGGTGGTTGTCAAGGGGGCCCCAACTCGTAGCTTTGGCCACCAGATCAGGGGGACAAGGCACCCCCTGTCCCCACGCTAGTTACGCTACTTTCCCACAGTCTCTGAAGGCTACACGTGGGGATCTCGTTGTGTATGCATAGTTTAATGGTTCCACGAGGAGCGCCATTGGCTCGAGATGTGTTTGTAGAGCTGTGCTGTGAACTCCACAATTACAACGCAAGAAGTGAAACGAGGTCTTGCTGGTGGAGCGCGAGAGGTGGGATTAGAGGTAGGGGTGGGGGTTAAGATTTGTGATTGTGGCTAGTTTGATCATTGGTGAGGTTTAGGGTCGGCGTCAGGGCCGGTACTCGATACAGATTGGCTGCTTTGTTAGGCATAGGGTTTTCGTCAATAGTCATGGTGTCTGGTTGGCTAGTTGGTTACGGTTGTGGCTGCGTTTGCTCAGTTAGTTGGTTATGCCAAGGGTCAGTAGGCATGTCTAGCAATAGTGGCGGTTTGGTTCGGGTTAGGATCACTGGCAGAGCTACTACTAGTCCCTGGTTGGCTAGTTGTTTAGGGATAGGGCTGGGGTCAGTAGTAGATTTAGTACAAGTAACTAGTTGGCTCGTTGGTTATGGTCAATGTGGGAGATTAACTCTAGTGTTTGGCTAGCTAGTTAAGGGTTAGGGTCAGTGTGATACGTAACATTCGCGTCTGATTTGGTAATTTGTTAGGGTTAAGGTCGTGTCTTTTGGGGTAATACTCGTTGCGTATTGGCTCTTTGGTTATGCTTATGCCGGTCAATGGCACGGCTAGTGCTAGAGGGTTATTGTCTCATAGGTAGTTATGCCTCGGGCTTAGCGAGAGGGTTCCATAGGACTGATAACCGACTGACTCCTGGTCGGGGGTTGGGGTCGTGTGTATGTCACGGGCGTCCGGCTGGCCGCCGTGCTCCGTGCCGCTAACCGCCGTGACCACTGCTCCACTCCACTCCGCATCGCGTTTCCAGTTTGGTTTGGCCGCATTCGCGCTGTTGACTGCCACGAGACGAGCGCGTCGCACGACCTGGCCACGCCGAGCGACGATGATGTTACGCGACCCCGCCAAACACTCACTCGCTCGCTGCTTTCGCAACTCAGCCGGCAACATTCGTGGCGTGCCACGGCCAATTACCCCAGCCAAACACGCGTATGCACAATCCGCCTCCTCGCCTGTAGGGTTTACAAGCTTAAATTGAATTAAATATTAATAATGAAAGTCCCATTAGCACGCCGAGGATATCGTGGCCAATATTATTTCAGACACGCCGGGTGTCGCGTTACGATGGTAGTGGTCGTGGTGGTGGTCGTGGTTGTGTCACGTGGTGGTGTCGTGTGTTGGTGGTGGTGGTGGCGCGTGGTTCTGGTAGTGGTGTCTCGTGATGGCGTCGCATGGTTCTGATCTGGTTGTCGCGTGTTGGTTTCGCGTGGTTCTCGTGGTGGTGTCACGTGCTTCTGATCTGGATATTGCTTGGTGGTGTCGCGTGGTTTCTGGTCTTGGTGTCGCTGGGTCGTGTCGCATGGTTCTAGTGGTGATATCGCGTGGTGGTGGTGGTTTCGCGTGGTTCTCGTGGTGGTGTCACGTGGTTCTGATCTGGATATTGCTTGGTGGTGTCGCGTGGTTCTGGTATTGGTGTCGCTTGGTGGTGTCGCGTGGTGGTGTCGCGTGGTTTCTGGTCTTGGTGTCGCTGGGTCGTGTCACGTGGTGGTGTCACGTGGTTCTGGTATTGGTGTCGCTTGGTGGTGTCGCGTGGTGGTGTCACGTGGTTCTGGTATTGGTGTCGCTTGGTGGTGTCGCGTGGTGGTGTCGCGTGGTTTCTGGTCTTGGTGTTGCTGGGTCGTGTCGCATGGTTCTAGTGGTGATATCGCGTGGTGGTGGTGGTGTCGCGTAGTTCTGGTGGTGGTGGTGGTGTCGCGTGCTGTTGTTGGGTGCGGGTGTCGCCACTGCTTTGAGTTATGGCCAGTCCCCTAGTAACCCATTCCCCCGCCCCCCTGCCTCTCTGGATTTGTTCAAAGGTCACGTAGACAAATTTTCATTTCCATCAGATGTTATTAACAAAAAACATCCCGATGTCTCGCCTTCATCACCAACGACGATATACGTCGCCAGATTCTCTGGGATACGTTTTGGCCGTGGATCTCACATGATAGGATCTTATATGTTGACGACCCTAGTGGCAATTCCACATGATGATAGATACGGAGTGATTGAGTATTTTAATAGAACCACGGTTGATGTTTTTGGGACTTTGCGCAAAGTAACGCCGTTCATGTTGTGGACCATAGCGGCATGATGATGATAATGATGATGAATGGGATGGATGTTTGAATTGATATATTGTACGATATAAAATAGGCTTCAGATGTTGCTATTAAATTAATACTGAAAGCTGCTGCGCAGGTTTCCGCCCTGGACATCAAAGGTATTTCCCATAATGATTGGAATGCAGGTGCTGCAGTAGATACACGCACGAGATCACCGAATACGTCTAACTCAATACAAGAAACCCTCTCTCCACGAGGGTTGCGTTCTTGAAAACGCTCGCGAATACAAAAAACCTTAATTCCAATGGAAAAAATTGGGTGACGTTCCTGGTACAAGTGAACATGAAAGGGGGGGGGGGGGGGGGGGGGGGTAAATGTTTAATAACAATTTAAGACAATAATAATACATTATTCAGAACAATGTATTTGGTTAAATTACGTTTGATAATGATGATTTTACGACGACGGGGGTGGTGGTGATCGTGAAGAATTCGGGAGGATGACTCCTTGGGAGATGTAGCTGTTTGATAGCCACGCTGAACAGTTATCATTTTAGCACTCTGGGGAGCGCTAGCCACAACACTTTCCCTGATTGCATTCGCGTTCTTTTTAATTGACCTCGCAATCGACTCATTTATACATTTTGGTATTCACGAGTTGACTGTAAGTACGTATAACGTAAAAATGCACAATAGCGAGTTCAGAGTCGGATTACTGTCAGACTGAGGACTATGCGGGCAGCCTAGTTGCAAATTTACAATTCTGCGCTCACCTCGCCAGTGTCGGTGTTCTGGCACGTATACTCGCGGATTCTGGAATCCAGCGGGTCGCGAATAGGGAATCGCATACCTTTAGTAACTCGCGAACATGCGAAACTCGCGAATCCAGAACTGTACTATCTACATCAAGCGGAACGAGTTTACAAAATCATCAGACCCGTGAAGTGTCTTAATTAGCATCTGAACGAAGACTGGTGGACGTGGAAGGTAGCGCGAAGAACGGAATGTTAGGAAACCCTGGTGGGAAGTGTTCTCGTGAACCCCACCGGAGTTGATTCCTCCACCCGTGTTGCAGACTCGCTGCTGCGCTCAACCACCAACCACCCTGCAGGGCAAACACTGCACTTGCTGCTTCTTCCCTCGCACTGCTCGTCTTTGAAATGCACCCCCATCGCCTCTCTCTTTTCCCAAACTCGTATAACCGTGTTAAGTAACAAAAAAATACGCGTTCACTCTTAATGATTACAACTGTGACAGTGCTTTGCGTTACTGGCCGCTTCAACGTTTTGACGCACGGTCTGACACTAATCCGCGTGTCGCCGTTCTCCCTTGCAGATGACCCCGAGTCCCAGTTTGGCTGTCTACCCCGCGCCGGGCAGCAGTGGGTTCATGCCCTGGACCTAGCGCCGAGAGGAGGAACCGCTCACGACATCCACGCTGCAGGCCACGGGGTCTTGACTTAGAGTGAACGAATCGTGCTGCCTGCCGGGAGCGTTTCAACTATACCACGTGTCAACGGATGGACGTCCTCTGTGCTTATTATTACACGAACGTCCTCTGAAAGTTGACACACAGCTGCCAGAGGCTGTCACAAGGTGCAAAGATTGTCATACAATCAGGATTCCCACAAGACTGCAATGTATCATCAAATGCGTACATACAACCACACGCTCATCCATTGTATGTACATCGAGTCGTAGATTAATATCGATTCTTAATCTCACGGTTCGCTCGTGGATTTTTTTTCCTCTCACTTGTACTGTACGTAATGACTCTTTGGTTCTTTCGGCAAAGGCTTTACCGAAAGAACCAAAGAGTAATTCCTGCAGTCACGATGGCTTCAACTCAAGTTTGTACGCAATGAGTTCACGCGACTAACCCAGCCACTAGGGGTCGCCATATTAGCCACGATTTTAAAAAAATCTACATTTTTATTCTTGAATTGGCTCCATTCTTGATTCGAGTCGTGAACCGGATTTTCGCAAATTGCTGCAATCTCGTTTCACACCGCATATATTGTGCCAGATGTATACCCAGCCAGGTACAGTGGCAGAGCGAGTGACTCACGATCAGAAGGTTGAGAGTTCAAGTTCTGCTTTGGGAACGACTCAACCAATCATCCCTTCAATGTTGCTAAAAGAGGCACCGCTTTGTGGGGATTGTGCTATGGAGAGAATCGCACTCCGCCATAGGAACGTGGAATTTCCACCACTCGCTCAGGGTTGTAAGCAAGAGATGAGCACTGCCTCGATGCTCATTTGAGCAGGAAATCAGTTTGATGAGATGTATCACGATTCATCTGCGATGTTATGAAATTGGTAATTCAAGTCAATCGATTCACATTTACATCGTTTATATTGTTGCTCATCCGTAATGTCTCATTTGTAATTGTTTGTCCTGCTTCGTTGGTACTGCGTGTCGACCTAGATTCTACCGTCTCCTTTGTGTTTCGTTGTCTGTTGTCTTTTTCATTGTGTGGTTTTTCTGTGCTGTCTTTCTGTGCTGTCTTACTTGTACTCTCCAACTATTGTACTTACCCGTTCGGGTTTTAGTGCATTCCGTGAGCATCCACGTTACATTCACGGGGACTCGATGCACGAAATCGTGAGTTTAATCATCGAAGAATCGTTACTCATTGCGCGTTTATATTTGTTGGTTTTCCAATTGCTCGCACATTGATCGTGTAAGAAGCATTGACAGTGTTAACGTATTTATATGCAGAATAATACACGCCGCTGCTCCCAAATTAATTTATTGTAGGTAACCCGTAAAGGCTTGTTATAAATTGCACCACTCTACAGTATTATATATATGTGTGCGCTGTAATGCTAATTGCGTATCTACTGCAATTGAATTTCGTTTAAGACGTCTACAGGTCCGGTCTTGTAACTAGCGGTGGCCAAAGCTCAGGGCCCTAAGTAGGCGCAGGGCCTCACGGATTCATGGACCAATAGGGGTGGAACAAATATCAGCTCGAATCTCAAATCCGATTAAAAAATATATGAAAAGCTCATTAACATCAAAAAGACAATTAATCTCTCATCTTGCATCTCACAACAGCGATTACTTTTTTATTGAATTTTTCTTATCTCACTACATCTCTGTTTTGTCTATATATATATTTCTCCTGTCATCTCACTAGGAATGTATACTGTACCGTACATTAAAACTAAACTAAAAACTAAACTATTTTTATATTACAAGGTAAGGCCCACTGAGCGATGTGAAGCTCTTTATCTGAAGCCACCTGGCCACAACTGATAGTTAAACGAAGTGGCGTATCATCATGTGGAAATGTATAGCAGCCAGATACCCTAAAAGCATGTTTCTAAATGTGGAGGGAAAACCCGGAGGACCTGGAGAAAAATCTACGCGATCGCGGGGAGAGAGAGCGACGTGCAAACTCTAAATATACAGGCGTCAGGGTCGGGATCAAACCCACAACCTCCAGCATACCAGGCGAAGAAGATATCATTTCGCCACCGCGACGCCCATTAAAAGGAGGGTAAGGTAATCAGTGGGCTAGCACCACCACTGCTGTTGACATCCAACACCAGCAGCGAATAGGGGGCAAACAGTTTGGGGGCAGAACACACTTAACCCTCACCCACTCCGCGAACCGGCAACGGGTATCGTACGAGACATTACAGAGATCTTGAGCAACTGGCCAAGCTGCCCCTTGCACTGCATACACCCTCTACCGTTGATCAACTAACCCACCAAGCTCTCTCACGAATTCTAACCAGTGGTGGTGACCAGTGGTGGTGACAGTGGCGAGCAGGTGCCCCTTTCCGAGGCGGGCGCTGCCAAATATCGGCAGCCAAATTAATTTGGAAGGAAGCGAGCAGTGGCGGCTGGTGGATCACATCTTTCTCGGTGGGCCCGTGCCGGCGGCGCAGCTGCGGGGGGTGGGGCTGAAGGGGACACCTCGTTGCCCCCTCACACCAACATGCCTCGCTGCGGCTCTGATCCCAACCCGCTGACCCGAGCTTAGCCCCCCAACCGGGATCGGTTCTCAACTTTTGTTCTGTTTTCAGTGTTGCTGATCACAGCGCGCAGGGCGAATGAGGAATGTTTGCGGCCCCTAGGGTTCGCCAGCAGGGGGAGACGTGGCTGGTGATTACACTATGTGACACGATGTTTGTCCCTGGGTAGTGTTATTTTTTTAATTGCTTATGCCTGAAAAGTATTTTTTTTTAATGGCTATTATTCCCCACAACTTTTGCTTTTGTGACCAGGGCTTTATGTGAAGGAATGACACAAATGCACACCACGTTTTCTCATTGAAACTAGGTAAATTTCAAAATATCACTGTCCTGGTCACAAAAGCAAAGTTTGTGGGGAATAATAGCCATTTGATGTACTTTTGAGGCATAAGCAATTAGGAAATAAACACTTACTACCCAGGGACAAAAATCATGTTTTTTGTTACACTGCGTTATCGTTGAGTCTCTTTGCTCCTTTTCTCTCGCTGGGTTTCTGTCGTCTCTGGTGCCTTCGTGTCCGTCTCTCTGGTCGCGCTGTCTCTAAAACGGTCTGCACCCCTCACACTCATTTCTTTACTACTGCCTTATGTGTGTCGTTTTGTTGTCCTTCCCCCGCACCGTCGATTTGCACGGTTGGCTACGTACGGTGCGAAAGAAATTCAACATACATACAGCACGGTTGGCTACGTACGGTGCGAAAGAAGTTCAACATACATACAGCACGGTTGGCTACGTACGGTGCAAAAGAAGTTCAACATACATACAGCACGGTTGGCTACGTACGGTGCGAAAGAAGTTCAACATACATACAGCACGGTTGGCTACGTACGGTGCAAAAGAAGTTCAACATGCGTGGCCGGCACCCTTCACAGCTTTGCGTCCTGGGCGGCCGTCCCGGTCGTCTATGCCACACTAAGGCCGAGCCTGGACGTACAGTTACTGTCAATGCAATATTGTTCGATTATTCATAATTACTATACAAATATATAATTGCTCTGTTATGGACGAAACTCTGTGTCCGTGTTTGTGTGTGTTCAATTATTATGCGCGTTGATAACGTGTGCAAATATAATTCAAGCAAACTGTGAAATTAAGTGATGACGAGACCCTTGGGGTCAGGTGGGCGGGTTGTGCAACAATTGCGGGATCTGGCAGAAGGAAGGATGCGATGGCGGGTGTAGCGTTATCTTCGGCATTTGCCTTAATGACCTCTTTGATTTATGGTCATCAACTGCGTTTGCTTTTCTGAGCCCACTGCGTGAACTTCGTGGCCAGGGATAAAATGAGAGATGTCCTGGAAGAACTTGAGAACCCTCATATATATTCGGATAGCCCTGCGATAATTTCTGAGGAACAATTTTCAAATACACATTTAAAAGTGAATAACGTATGACCTCCCCACAGGTGACCACAAAATTAGTACAGAGTAAAGCTTTATTTACTTTTTCATGCACTTGGTAACAGCAAAAGCACTAAGCTGGCACAGCTGAGTTGCCGGGTTCGAATCCTCGTGTGGGCATGAGGCCATTTGAACGAATCCCAGCAGAGGTAGATCTCTAATGCCCATTGTTCCTGGGCCGTTCTCTAACGCGGGTGCTTGCATTGCTCTGAGACATATCGGGGTGGTTATTTGTCTCGCGGCACAGGACACCGACATAAATTTCTGCATTTATGAAACTTGTCTCTGGTGGCGAGATGTTAACTACCTCGCCTGGTATACACGAGGCCGTGGGTTCGATCCCGACCTGACGCCTGCTGTGTATTTGGAGTGTGCGTGTCTCTCTCCCCGTCGCCGCGTGGATTTTTTTCCGGGTCTTTCCGGTTTTTTTTTCCCTCCAAATTTAGAAACTCGCTTTAAAGTATTTGGCTGTTATACATTTCCACATGATAAGCCACTTAATTGGGCTATAATTGGTGGTCAGGACGCTTCTGAAAAATATCTATATAGCTCAGTGGGTCTCAGCTGGTAAAGTAAAAAATAGTTTTGAGTTTAGTTTAGTCGTGCTATGTGTTCACGAACAGAAATTCGGCCTAAACGCGTTATTAGTGCAGTGCAACAGTGCTTTCTGGTGATGGCTTTTTTACTTGGCTTAATTAATGATTACCACTATTTGAAAAACAAATCCTTATTAGGTATTTACCTTTAACGCACAACAGCAAATGTAGTCACGCCCACAAAATAACAAAGACCCTCCCCCCCTTGTAGCCAGAATATGTGACGCGTTGCAAGCGAGCTGACGGTCACACACTGCATCAGGTAACCTGTTAAAAGGCTGAACTGAACCAGGGGAGGCCCACATCATGTTCCGATAACTCACGAAAGGTAAGTAGCGTACTGTGTCCACCCCCCCCGCCCCACCCCCACCACAACACACACGTAAAAAATCATTTTCCGGTCCTCAGCCCCAGACATCTCCGGTTGAAATGAAGCCCCGTGTACACGCAGGAGTGACTTTGTTCAAGCAGCGGCCGACGGCGGCGCCCTGTTCGCGCAGTGTGCTTTGATTTGGTTTAATTGGCGGCTCGGGGTTTCCTGTCTCGGCCCCGTAATGAGCGAGGCTGTTTGACCTTAAGAGGGGTAATTTGAGAGTTCCCCGCGTGTGGATTTGCGTGTAATGACTCTCAGGGCTCTGCCGAACGCGGCGTTTGACTCCTTCAAAGCGAGACCAGGCGAGGCGGGCAGAGAACACACTAGCCTCAGCCTTGCATACATTCGTGGTTCACGAGAGCGAGAAGGGTGCTGCCACAGTGGTGTAACGGTCAGCGCACTGGACTTGCAGTCAAGAGGTCGCTGGTTTGATTCCATCTTCTGGCGCGGCAAGTGAAAAACAATGGGCAACTTTCTTAAATCCTCTTTCCACCGAGAAGCAGAATTGGGAACACCGCGGTTAGTCGATTGGCAGATCGCCGTGTGGTGGAATCAGGTGTCGGTGGGTACCCCCACCTCTTTCAAGACGTATTGGCCAGCGAAGAAGGGTAAGTCAAAACAAATACCATAGAGAGGGGCTGGCTAGAGTTATCTATGGAGATGGCTCTTCTGCCAGCAGTGGCGTGAGCAAGACATTGCAAAAATGCGACGTTACCTTTTCACAAGAACATGAAGTTTTTATTTTTACGCAGACGAATACTTTATAGAACTTTGTCAAGACACTGATATTAATAAGTGATTCTCGAAGCAATTTTGGTCAGAGTGGTTGTTTGATCATACACCACGCGGGATGGCCAGTGCGGGTTGGTGGAGGAGTTGAGGGGGAGGACTGGTTCGAATATCACTCGTCCCTGATGATAGCCGTGGTCGGGAAGGCCGGGTTCGTAGTGCAGGGCGCTACGAACGATCGACGCACAAAGAGCCGATGACTGGCTTTCACGTTATTCGTTTTGGTCGAATATAACACTGAATATATAAATCGCGTGTGTCTGTGTGCGCGCACGTGCGTTAGTGGGGAATGGCGGTACAGTGGGTAGCTGCCCTACAAATTTGGCGACCCGAGTTCGATTCTAGCTGACGGTGAACACAGAGAGTGACGAATCACGCGTAGCCGATACAACATCCGCAGTTTCCACGTAACGAGACGCACGTGCAATTACAAGCAACGAGCTCCTTACCCAGACGATTAATTCATCCGCCTTGCATTTGTTCCTTAATCACCCATCACTGTTCTCCGTGCAGCTGTGGATAGCAGACGTCTTATGGAGAAGGGATATTAATTATACGGAGTACTACAAACCATTAGGCTAAATAAGTATAAGGTTCCCAGCGGCAGACTGTGCAGATGTGAGCATTGGTTGCCATACAATACTGATGAGTCCTAATAGGACGAAACCGCTCAACAGTTGTCTATATCTGTCTTACTGCTGCCTCTCATTGGGTCAAATTTGCTTAAATTATTTTCATTGGTGACCTAAGACGACAAGAGGACCGCATATGCAGCTCTTCGGGATCTGCCGATGGGTTTTGCATAATGCACAAATGCTGAGTGCATTTTCTACACATTTCTCTGTGTTGTTTCAAACGTAAAATAAGTGGGCGTAGGCAGGACACGTCGCTAGAAGGAATGAACGCCACGTTATACGTTGATCAAATCGTAAACATTTCAGCGGAGCGGGTGAAGGGCATTATGAGTGCAGTTCAAAGTGCAGTGTTGGCATTATGAAGCATGTAGCTCTCCGATGTATTTCCTGGTTGTACTGCGTGTTGTTCGGCATGATATCCGACGTTTCGCTCCACATGCTGGGGACTTGTTAAGGAACTGAATTACCAGCACGAGATGCGAAACGTTGGACATCACGCCGATCAAG